ACATTAGGGTTTACATGGTGTAACCCTAATGCAACATACTATATAAGCATACTTAGAGCAACCAAAATCAGCTACACTAGTGAGACAAAGAGGCCATTTTGGGTTTTCGGATTTCATGGGATTCTTAAATGGGTTTTTGGTTTTGGCTTGGCCCATTAAGAGGTTTTTGGTCTATTAAAGCCCAAAGATAGAAGGGTTTTCGTTTTGGAGTACGTATGGGCTTTTTGGGTTTAATTGGGTCCAATAAAAGGGTTATCGGCCTAATATGTCCCAAAGAAAAATTTTCAGCCCAATAAGGCCCAAAGAAAAGTTTCCAACCCAATAAGGCCCAAAGAAAGGTTTTCGGTCCAATAGGGTGTTGGGTTTAGAATTCTTTGGCCAAGGCCCAAAATCGATTGGGCTTAGCTATTGGATCAATTTTTGGGCTTGTAAGAGGCTATTTCTACTGGATTTTATATGTACGCTCACATGAATTCAAATAACATTGTAGTTTGAATTTCATTAATTTGATGTTGCAAGGTTACATAGAGGAAATTATTTTGTACATGAATCACAATCTCAACCCTAAATTGCTAGTTGTGACAATTATTATGTCATGTCATAATAGTTAAAGCCAAGTCATCATTTAACCTGTAAGAGTTAGTTACCGGTAGGTAATATTTGAACAAAACATATAGTTTGTTGGTGTTTTTTTGTACAAAAGTATACTTAGATGGTGTTTTTTGAATGATTTTAAAACATAGTTACCCCTTTGAGTCATTTCCTCTTGCTTTTTTTCCTTTAGTTATTTTTTACCGGTAATATCCGGTTACCACAAGGTCAAATTTGAACAAAAAATGTACTTCGTTGGTGTTTTTTGTACAAATGCTTTACTTGGATGGTGTTTTTTGGATACATCAAACTTGAATGGTATTTTTTGAACAATTTTGAAACATAGTTACCCATATAAATCATTGTCCCTTTATATAGCGATATTACACGGTTATAATATAGATGTTAGGCTTAGTAGACCACAACTCAAAGATATATTTATTAGACTATCTTTTAGCTCGTTTTACATAACTCAAAGATTTTTATATATTAAAACATGTACCAACTCAATATTTTCATTTTTTTTTTCTAAACTAAGGGAGAACCATTAAAAAAATGTCATGACGTACCTAAAACTCCCACTTTTTCAAAGATTTTTATATATTAAACCATGTATCAACTCAAAAGTTCCTTATTTTTAAACCAAGGGATAACCAATTTGATTAAAAAAAATGATAAGATGTACCGTTAAAACTGTAACATCCTACTTTTCTATGCAAATGATATCTAAGAAAAAATCTTATTATTTTTGGAATTTTTTTTATAGGGTCCTAAATTTTTTTTTAACATAAAAATCTTATTATTTGTTAAAAATCATCATTACGTGTTAGAATAATATATATATATATATATATATATATATATATATATATATATAGGCTTAGGTTATTATGTTTTTATTAACTATTGTGTTCCAGAATGCACAGATCTGGACCACCGGATGGAATATAATCAAATGCCATGATCTGACGCTGTATAACATTATAATAGGATAACATGTACCATATAATCAAACAAATTTCAGCATAAGGGCATTTTAGTCAATTAAGTTATATTAAAAAAGGAAATTTTCGGATTTTTTGGATAATTAATTCCTTTATTTTTAAAAATCTGAATATTTTAAATTAATTCAAATTTAAAAATCCGATTTTATTCTGTCAGAATGACAGAATGCCAACTATAAACTAGTAAATATATTTTCGATTTTATTCTGTCAGAATGACAGAATCCCAACCATAAACTAGTAAATGCATTCTGAAAGAATACACAAAATCGATTCTTGAACTAATAATATACCAAATAATTACATTGTATGATTGTGATTCATTGAATAATAAAAACATTCTGAAAGAATAACAAGTGTAATTTTATAAGTAGCAACATTATTAAACAATGAGTGTGATCATTCTTTAATTCATTCTTCAAGCCTTTCCCATCAGGTCTTTAAGCCATTCTTCAAACCATTTCTATCACAAATTCATTGCCAAATATTTTGTAGTGATACACTTGTAACAACTGCACATTAAACATATAAATAATCAACTACTATTCTATTAGAATACAACAATAATATTCTTACACAATAAACTGTTCTTGCAGAGTGGTTTTGAATATTATTAAAAGAATTTGTATTATCAAGAATAGATCTAACGAACAAAAACATTTGAAATATAAATGCATGAAAAGATCATGTTAAGACAAAAGGTGACTAAGAAAAAAAACAATTAGAATATATAAACCATCTTCGGCTCACAAGTTTTTTATTGTGAAAAATGATGATCTGTGAAAGCACTAGGATGAAGACTCCCTGTATGTATTCCAAATGCATTATATTCCTATTCAGTTTCTCTTTACGTATAATAAATCTTGTTACAAGAAAAAAAAACAAGTATGCAAACCACATGGAACACAATAAGGGGGCAATAAGTAGGAAGAAGGCCCTCCAACGGTAAAAAAGTCCAAATAGATAGTATCTATTCCACCAGGTGTAAAAAACCACCTTTGTTTGCACCTACAACTTGTGTAAATTATAGCAATAGAAAAGTAGTCCATGTGTTTGCAAATTCTGACAGAATGCTAGCTTAACCCTTTTCATCAAAGACAAATGACATGTACCACTACAGTATAATTCTTAAACAGTGCAATCGACACATTATTTTTTGAACAATATAACGAAATTTTTAAAGAATGGTGAACAATATGTTATATATGTCGTGTATGTTCCAAGATATTCAAGTTCCAATTCACATATCAAGAAATACATTAAAAAAATGGATTAACTGAAACTTACAATCCCATGTAGCCTCATTCATCTGTTGTATAATTCCAATTGGCCCCACCTAAAAACAAAGGAATCCCAAATTAAAGGAGAAGTAGGAATGGGGTGCAACTGAAGGATATTTTAAAATTAAAAGAAATGAGACGATTACCTGATTGAGGGATACGATGGCCCTGCCACCAAGGTGAACAATTCCGAATCAGGAAAGGGAAGCAAAACCAAAAAAAAGATGAAAGTGAAAAACCATGAAAGTTATTGTATTGATCGATAAACCCTCAATGGTATTGGTGACAGCTAATCATCCAAAACCAGTTTTATAAAATCAAAAAATGAAGATCGAAAGTTAATCGCACCAGTAGAAATAAGATGATTAATTTTTGAACAAGATCCACACCGTAATAACATGGGAATGGCAGCGGGTGGTGTAGCACTGGCGGTGAAGAGGGTCATCGAGTTTCTTTGGACGACGATTGAATGAGCATATGACCGAAGGTGTTGGTGATGTACGGCTAAGGAAAAACCAGTGGTGTAGGGTTACTAAGATGAAAAAGACGTTTAAAAGGCTTTTAATACCGATTTCCCTATTTTTAGGAGATATTAAATGTTTTAAAATTCCTACTATAATTAAATAGTGTTAGATTACTATCATACCATTTTACTATTTATTACTATTTATTTAATTATTTATTTTTTCCTAAATTCCTATAGGTGCATTCATGCACACAATAGTTGCTATACACATTTAAACCTAGCACTCTCTCTCTCTCTCTCTCTCTCTATATATATATATATATATATATATATATATATATATATATATATATATATATATATATATATATATATATATATATATATATATATGGTGGTTCCCTTGAGATAAATTTTTTTTAGAGAATGTGAGATATATGTATAACCGTTTGATGTGCTTATGTTTGTTTCTGAAACTATGCGATGACATATTCATAATTATATTGGTAACTTATTAAACTAACGCCGTTAATTTACAATTGTGGGGCTATTGTTGTAATTTTAAAAAGATTGATATGGATTTTGAAGGCTATGAATTTTACAAACTATGCATGTTTTTATTAACTAGTTAAATGTCGTTTTATGTTGATAATGGTGTTTTTTTTTTGATTCAGTAGGTTTTTCGTCATTTTAACTTGATTTTGATTATTGTCTCGTAATGTTTTTTATTATGTTTGTTTGTGGTGTTTTCTGATTAAGTTTTTGTTTATTTTTTCACATATAAGGATTTCAAAAGAAACTACGTTCGAAAAAAATTCAAAAATCAAAAAAATATCGAATGCGGTAGAAGTGCTGTTATTTCCGAAGGTACAGTTCAAAAAAAATCATCTATGATTAGAAGTATAAATAAACATATAACTTAATGTTGGAAGTTATTTGTTGTAATCATAACTGATTTTTTGATTTTTTTAGTGTATTGAACATAACATGTAGTTATATGTTTATTTTTATTTCTAATCATAGATGATTTTATACGTTTGTTTATAATCATTGTTAAATAGTAATGATAAATGTATTTTTATGTATCAAACATGAATATAAAATTATTTTTGTAATCATAACTGATTTTGTGGTTATTTTAAGTGGATTGTATATAACATTTAGTTGTATTTTTATTTATTGTTCTAATCATAAATGATTTTATATGTCTGTTTATAATCATTAGTGAATAGTAATGATAAATGTATGTATTATTTTTTACTAACACTATGTTTGTAATGAAAATTGTAGTTAAAAAGGAAATGTAGATAGCTCAAGGAAGACACGATCATCTTCCAAAAGAGAAAAAGCGAATGAGGTGTTGCAAACACGTTCAAAGACATCCAAAAAAAAAACAGTTATTGAACAACTAAAAGTGAACTGGGGGTAAAGGTCAAACCTGTAAGTAAGAAACGTGAACTATCCGATAAAGATGATTTAGATTTTCAGAGTCGTCCTGGATCTTCAAAGAAACCAAAGAGAGAAACTAAAGTTTTGAAGAAAGATAAAAAAAGTTGCTGTTATAAAAGAATTTCCTTCACTAAAGAATAGATGTTCACCCGGGTCATTGTTGGGTGTTATTCAAGGTTTAAATAGAGAGCAGAAGGATTGTGTTAGGGCTATGGGATTTGGGAGTATCTTAGGGATGGAGATGATTGACGTACCGTTGAAGATTGTTTATTATGTTCTTGACCGTTTTAATTTTAAATCTTTGAAGGTGGAGTTTGATAATTGTGAAGATAGTGTTGATAGTAAGTATATTCAAGAGATGTTAGGATTACCATCTGGTGGCTCATTACTTTCAAACATGGATTACATTTCGGAGAATAATGAAGAGAGTTGTGTGTTTGAGTGGAAGAAACAATATGAGAATATTGATAAATTGAGATTGAAACAACTAAAGAATGAACTTGTTCAAACTAGTGCTACAGATGACAACTTCAAAATCAATTTGTTGGTTCTTTTTATTAATACTTTCGGTGAGTCTACAAGCATGGGTAAATGTAATCTGAATCCATTGTATTTAATCAGAAGAGATAATGATTTAAGTAGCATTGACTGATGCGATTACATTGTGGATTGTTTGGTAAGGACGAAGAAGGTTTACAATCTAGAGAAATAATCTTCTTTCTTTTATGGAACAACAACATACCTTATGGTACGTGAGTTATTTTTTGATATTAATTATTCTTTTTAGTTGTAAAAATAGGTTTGTTTTTGTAATAAATCATATATGATTTTACTACATATGATTATGTAGTATAATTTTTGATTAATTATATATTACACATCAAAATCGTATATGATGTTATATATGTTATGATGATATATATGTTTTTGCAGTTGTTGTATGTGGATACTTTCAAGTTTGATCATTTGCAAATCACACATAAACGTCCATCTGTTTTCTTAATTGGATGTCAGAGAAGATAAGGTTTCTTGAAGTTATTTTTGAAGAGAGTGGAGGATTTGGATTTGAACATGTTAATGAAGCATATGTTGAAGAAGAATTTCAAGAATCTGAGTATAATGAGGAGGAATCTGGTGGTGATGAGGTTGAATATGACGGCAAAGAGGATTTATGTGATGAGGATGAAGAAGATTCTGAAGTTAATAAAGTTAGTGATGTGGAGGTAATTCTATAGTTTTATTCATTTATGATTTAATTAGTTTATTCATTTATGACTTTTTATGTTTAAGTATTTTAGTTGTAAGTATCTTTATTCTTATGTAGGTGTATGAAAGTAAAATTTCATATATGTATAAGAAGATGGAGGATTTGAAAAAGGATCTTGTTGTAAAGATAGTTGAGGGAATGTTGAAGTTTCCTCAAAGTCAAAATTTGAAAAATTCGAAATTATTATTTCCTCTTGAAGATTTAAGCACAAAAAGTTTTGTTTTCCATTATGTTTCACAAAAATAGAAAGAACCGATATTAACACCGTTGACTCGTCGAGTCCCTCAACTCTGAAAACTCCCATATCGTGACCCAACTCACCGAGTCGCCCCAAGACTCGCCGAGTCCCACGAACTCTGAGTCACTTCCTGCTCAACTCACAAAGTCGTCCCTTGACTCACCGATTCACAGCTCAGCTAGGAAAGGTTAGGACCTCACGACCAGACTCGCCGAGTCCAAGAACAGACACGCCAATTCCAAGGCTATCTTCAACCAACTCGCCGAGTTGTTCTTCCAACTCGCCAAGTTTCTTCCTATCTTCATGCAACTCGCCAAGTACACCCATGTGACTCGCCGAGTACCACTAGCTCTTAATCCATTCAGTGGCTTTCCAAGCCATGCAGGGGCTCCAATCCATAGATCTACCCTTCCACCAGCTATTCCTCACGTAAAGTTGCAAACTTTACGTGAATCCAAAGAGATCTAAGCATCGAACACTCTTGGGATAGGGTTTAGGACAAGAAGGCTTCACTAAAAACTCTTGGGCATGAACTTTATGGATTCCTGGACCACTACAATCCTAGATCTGAGGTAGCAACATCTTACACCAAACTCGAGATGAACCTCATTTATGCTCCAAAAACCCTACAATTGATAGATCTAGATGCACAAAAGCTCAAGAACAGATCTCTTACCTCCAATGCAAGCTCCTACTGGAGAATGAACCAAATCTCTGCAAAGACCCTTGCTCCAAATCTTCTTGCTCTTCAATTCCCCTCCAAGATTTCCTCCTCCAAGGCTCTAATTACTCACAAAGGAAAGCTCACACGAATTTAGGGCCTCTGGAACTCAAAGGGAAGGTAAAGAGGCTGGGGAGGGGGTATTATGTTCTTTATATAGGGCTCAACCCTCGGGATTAGGGTTTTCTCCATACAACACCAACTTGCTGAGTCTACCCATGCGACTCGCCGAGTTGGTCACTTATCACGCGACCTGAAACACCACTCGATTCGCCGAGTCGACCTTCTTATTTACACTTTTAGCCCTTCAACTTTACTTCTAAATTTCCGGGATGTTACAGTTCTTTAAAGCAAGATTATGCTTATGAACAACACATGGTGTCCAATAAATGTGAGGAAATTGACTCTCTATAATCTCTCCAGCCGCCTTACAATTTGTTGCATTGTTAGTAATTATTTGCACAACATTTTCATGACCAATTCAATGTATGACTTCCTTCATCACTTCGACAATAAAAAATCTATCTTTCACTTCCCCAAAACAATTTACTGCCTTTAGAAACAAAGGACCATTACCTGAGGTAGCCATGAAGTTGATTAGAGGTTTTCTTGTAGGATCACTCTAACCATCACTCACAATAGTCACACTTTTTTCTTTCCATGTTGACCTAAGTGGCTCCAATAGCTTTTGAACAATATCTTTTTCTTTTTGTAGTAATGTTGTTCTTAGCTTATTATAACCAGGAGGTACATAACCATCAATTTTGTTGTTAGCAGCAAACTGAAAAGCCCTGACATAGTGTGGATTTCTTGCAAGATTAAAAGGTAAACCTCCGGTATAAAACATTCTAGCTATTTTTTGATCCAGTTGGTCCCTAATTTCAACACCAAAAGCTCTTTCAATAGGTCTTGAAATACCTTTTCTTTTTTTAAATCCAACACTAGCTTCACATCGCAACCGGACTTCTTTCGCTCGTGACTCAGTTTTCTTCTTTTCATATGCATCTTCTAATTGTGTCATGTTATGTTTGTCAGCTGTTGTTGCTTTCCTGCAAATAGAAATCCCGGTACCTATATTAAACAACATAATAACATTGACATTCTCAATTACACAACATGAAAAAAATAAGGTCATCATTGACATTATAAATTCAATTACATTACATTAATCAAAATAAGAAAGTGAATCAAAAACCTCTTATTTATTTGACTTTACCATTGTTCATGAATAAATAGTTCTATTGAATAACATGAATCAAAAGTGCAACAAATACATGAATCAAAACAAAAATCACAGCCTCTTATTTCATTACATTTTTTTAATGAATCAATATTTCAATACTTCAATACAATAACAAGAATAAAAAATTACAACAAATACATGAATGATGAATCGAAACAAAAATCGTTGCCTCTAATTTTTTTTCTTTACAATTTTTCATGAATCAGTACAATAAGTCAACAACATAAATCAAAAATCGAAAATTACATAGACACATACACACTAATTTGAATAATAGATTACCTTTTATGCCAAGCAAATGTGCTCTAACTCTAGAATATGATCCTTGTCTGGTTTCACTGCAAAGGCTACACTTGAACTTCCAACATCCTCCTGCTCCAACAAGTTTATCGAGTTTAGTCACAAAGTCCCACAATGGAGGTTGGTCTAATGATGTAGATGATCCTTGTGTTTCTTGTTCTTGAGAAGAAGCCATAATAATCGAATTGGTGAGTGGTGAATGTGTGAATGAGTTTTGAATTTTTTTTCTTGTTCTTGTCTTCTTGATCGACGACACAGAGAGGCAATAAAAAAACTATAAAAGTCGATGAGAACCAATGAAAAGAGTACGCAGCAGCCTTACGTTTACAAACTTCTAAATTTTAATCGACTAATTGACTAATTGTAGGGTAATAGCATTGGCAACCGACATAGGACTAAGCCCATTACTCTATTTCTACATATTAAAAGCCCATGCAAATAAAAATAAAAAAGGGAAACGTGAACGAAACGTGCGAGAAACGTTTTAGGGATTACTGATATTTGCCAGAAACATTTCCCGACCGTTTCACTGGCGTTTCCGTTTCCTAGGCGTTTAAGATACGGGAGCGGCTATTCGTATGGCGTTTCCAAGCATCGTAGGGGCTAGATGCTCCGTGGATTATCTAGTTGGGCTAAGGTCCATAGGATGCTCCATGGGAGTTACAAACCCATGGATCATGGAAATGAAGAGCCATGTTACATTAGGGTTTACATGGTGTAACCCTAATGCAACATACTATATAAGCATACTTAGAGCAACCAAAATCAGCTACACTAGTGAGACAAAGAGGCCTTTTTGGGTTTTCGGATTTCATGGGATTCTTAAATGGGTTTTTGGTTTTGGCTTGGCCCATTAAGAGGTTTTCGGTCTATTAAAGCCCAAAGATAGAAGGGTTTTCGTTTTGGAGTACGTATGGGATTTTTGGGTTTAATTGGGTCCAATAAAAGGGTTATCGGCCTAATATGTCCCAAAGAAAAATTTTCAGCCCAATAAGGCCCAAAGAAAAGTTTCCAACCCAATAAGGCCCAAAGAAAGGTTTTCGGTCCAATAGGGTGTTGGGTTTAGAATTCTTGGGCCAAGGCCCAAAATCGATTGGGCTTAGCTATTGGATCAATTTTTGGGCTTGTAAGAGGCTATTTCTACTGGATTTTATATGTACGCTCACATGAATTCAAATAACATTGTAGTTTGAATTTCATTAATTTGATGTTGCAAGGTTACATAGAGGAAATTATTTTGTACATGAATCACAATCTCAACCCTAAATTGCTAGTTGTGACAATTATTATGTCATGTCATAATAGTTAAAGCCAAGTCATCATTTAACCTGTAAGAGTTAGTTACCGGTAGGTAATATTTGAACAAAACATATAGTTTGTTGGTGTTTTTTTGTACAAAAGTATACTTAGATGGTGTTTTTTGAATGATTTTAAAACATAGTTACCCCTTTGAGTCATTTCCTCTTGCTTTTTTTCCTTTAGTTATTTTTTACCGGTAATATCCGGTTACCACAAGGTCAAATTTGAACAAAAAATGTACTTCGTTGGTGTTTTTTGTACAAATGCTTTACTTGGATGGTGTTTTTTGGCATCAAACTTGAATGGTATTTTTTGAACAATTTTGAAACATAGTTACCCATATAAATCATTGTCCCTTTATATAGCGATATTACACGGTTATAATATAGATGTTAGGCTTAGTAGACCACAACTCAAAGACATATTTATTAGACTATCTTTTAGCTCGTTTTACATAACTCAAAGATTTTTATATAGAGAAATTAAATTGATTCCTACTTTTTATACCTACAAATGTTCCTACCCAATAAAATTATGACAAGTGTCATCTTTCCATATTTTTTAAACTAAATTATTAAGACTATATTAGGAATATATCAAATACAATTAAATTGAATGGTGATTTGTCATAATTTTAGTGGGTAGGAATAATTGTAGGAATAAAAGGTAGGAGACAATTTAATTTCTCTTTTATATATTAAAACATGTACCAACTTAAAATTTTCATTTTTTTTTCTACACTAAGGAAGAACCATTAAAAAAATGTCATGACGTACCTAAAACTCCCACTTTTTCAAAGATTTTTATATATTACACCATGTATCAACTCAAAAGTTCATTTTTTTTTAAACGAAGGGATAACCAATTTGATTAAAAAAAATGTTAAGACGTACCGCTAAAACTGTAACATCCTACTTTTCTATACAAAGGATATCTAAGAAAAATCTTATTATTTTTGGAATTTTTTTTATAGGGTCCTAAATGTCTTTTTTAACATAAAAATCTCATTATGTGGGAAAAATCATCATTTCGTGTTAGAATAATATATATATATATATATATATATATATATATATATATATATATATATATATATATATATATATATATATATATATATATATATATAGAGCTTAGGTTATTATGTTTTTATTAACTATTGTGTTCCAGATTGCACAGATCTGGATCACCGGATGGAATATAATCAAATGTCATGATCTAAGGGTCTATGATATTAGAATAGGATAACATGTACCATATTATTAAACAAATTTCAGCATAAGGGTATTTTAGTCAATTAAGTTATATTAAAAAAGGAAATTTTCGAATTTTTTGGATAATTAATTCCTTTATTTTTAAAAATCTGAATATTTTAAATTAATTCAAATTTAAAAATCCGATTTTATTCTGTCAGAATGACAGCATGCCAACCATAAACTAGTAAATATATTTTCGATTTTATTCTATCAGAATGACAGAATCCCAACCATAAACTAGTAAATACATTATGAAAGAATACACAAAATCGATTCTTGAACTAATAATATACCAAATAATTACATTGTATGATTGTGATTCATTGAATAATAACAATATTGTGAAAGAATAACAAGTGTAATTTTTAAAAAGTAACAACATTATTAAACAATGAGTGTGATCATTCTTTAATTCATTCTTCAAGCCTTTTACATCAGGTTTTCAAGCCATTCTTCAAACCATTTCTATCACAAATTCATTACCAAATATTTTGTAGTGATACACTTGTAACAACTGCACATTAAACATATAAATAATTAACTACTATTCTATTAGAATACAACAATAATATTCTTACACAATAAACTATTCTTGCAGAGTGGTTTTGTATATTATTAAAAGAATTTGTATTATTAAGAATAGACCCAACGAACAAAAACATTTGAAATATAAATGCATGAAAAAATCATGTTAACACAAAAGGTGACTAAGAAAAAAAACAATTGGAATATATAAACCATCTTTGGCTCACAAGTTTTTTGTTGTGAAAAATGATGATCTATGAAAGCACCAGGATGAAGACTCCCTGTATGTATTCCAAATGCATTATATTCCTATCCAGTTTCTCTTTACGTATAATAAATCCTGTTACAAGAAAAAAAACAAGTATCCAAACCACATGGAACACAATAAGGGGGCAATATGTAGGAAGAAGGCCCTCCAAGGGTAAAAAGGTCCAAATAGATAGTATCTATTCCACCAGGTGTAAAAAACCACCTTTGTTTGCACCTACAACTTGTGTAAATTATAGCAATAGAAAATGTTCCATGTGTTTGAAAATTTTGACAGAATGCTAGGTTACCCCTTTTCATCAAAGACAAATGACATGTACCACTACAGTTTGATGAATTCTTAAACAATGCAATTGACACATTATTTTTTGAACAATATAACGAAATTTTTAAAGAATGGTGAACAATATGTTATATATGTCGTGTATGTTCCAAGATATTCAAGTTCCAATTCACATATCAAGAAATACATTAAAAAAATGGATTAAATGAAACTTACAATCCCATGTAGCCTCATTCATCTATTGTATAATTCCAATTGGCCCCACCTAAAAACAAAGGAATCCCAAATTAAAGGAGAAGTAGTTATAGGGTGCAACTGAACGATATTTTAAAATTAAAAGAAATGAGACGATTACCTGATTGAAGGATATGATGGCCCCTGCTACAAAGGTGAACAATTCCGGATTAGAAAAGGGAAGAAAAACCAAAAAAAAAGATGAAAGTGAAAAACCATGAAAGCTATTGTATTGATCGATAAACCCTCAATGGTATTGGTGGCAGCTAATCATCCAAAACCAGTTTTTATAAAATCAAAAAATGAAGATCAAAAGTTAATCACACCGGTAGAAATAAGATGATTAATTTTTGAACAAGATCCACACCGTAATAACAGGGGAATGACAACGGGTGGTGTAGCACTGGCGGTGAAGAGGGTCATCGAGTTTCTTTAGACGACGATTGAATGAGCATGTGGCCGAAGGTGGTGGTGATGTACGGCTAAGGAAAAACCGATGGTGTAGGGTTACTAAGATGAAAAAGACGCGTAAAAGGATTTTAATACCGATTTCCCTATTTTTAGGAGATATTAAATTTTTTAAAATTCCTACTATAATTAAATAGTGTTAGATTACTATCATACCATTTTACTATTTATTTAATTATTTATTTTTTTATAAATTTCTATTGGTACATTCATGCACACAATAGTTGCTATAAACATTTAAACCTAGCTCTCTCTCTCTCTCTATATATATATATATATATATATATATATATATATATATATATATATATATATATATATATATATATATATATATATATATATATATGGTGGTTCCCTTGAGATAAAAAAACATTAGAGATTGTGAGATATGTGTATAACCGTTTGATGTGCTTATGTTTGTTTCTGAAACTATGCGATGACATATTTGTAATTATATTGGTAACTTATTAAACTAACGCCGTTAACTTACGATTGTGGGGCTATTGTTGTAATTTAAAAAAGATTGATATGGATTTTGCAGGCTATGAATTTTACAAACTATGCATGTTTTTATTAATTAGTTAAATGTCGTTTTATGTTGATAATGGTGTTTTTTTTTGTTTTGATTCAGTAGGTTTTTTTGTCATTTTAACTTGATTTTGATTATTGTCTCGTAATGTTTTTTATTATGTTTGTTTGTTTGTGGTGTTTTCTGATGTAAGTTTTTGTTTATTTTTTTTTCACGTATAAGGATTTCAAAAGAAACTATGTTCGAAAAAAATTCAAAAATCAAAAAAATATCGAATGCGGTAGAAGTCCTGTTATTTCCGAAGGTGCAGTTCAAAAAAAAAATCAACTATGATTAGAAGTATAAATTAACATATAACTTAATGTTGGAAGGTATTTGTTGTAATCATAACTGATTTTTTGATTTTTTTAGTGTATTGAACATAACATTTAGTTATATGTTTATTTTTGTTTCTAATTATAGATGATTTTATACGTTTGTTTATAACCATTGTTAAATAGTAATGATAAATGTATTTTTATGTATCAAACATGAATATATAGTTATTTTTGTAATCATAACTGATTTTGTGGTTATTTTAAGTGGATTGTATATAACATTTAGTTGTATTTTTATTTATTGTTCTAATCATAAATGATTTTATATGTCTGTTTATAATCATTAGTGAATAGTAATGATAAATGTATGTTTTATTTTTTAATAACACTATGTTTGTAATGAAAATTGTAGTTAAAAAGGGAATGTAGATAGCTCAAGGAAGACACGATCATCTTCCAAAAGAGAAAAAGCGAATGAGGTGTTGCAAACACGTTCAAAGACATCCAAAAAAACAGTTATTGAACAACTAAAAGTGAACTGGGGGTTAAGGTCAAACCTGTAAGTAAGAAACGTGAACTATCCGATAAAGATGATTTAGATTTTCAGAGTCGTCCTGGATCTTCAAAGAAACCAAAGAGAGAAACTAAAGTTTTGAAGAAAGATAAAAAAAGTTGCTGTTATAAAAGAATTTCCTTCACTAAAGAATAGATGTTCACCTTGGTCATTGTTGGGTGTTATTCAAGGTTTAAATAGAGATCAAAAGGATTGTGTTAGGGCTATGGGATTTGGGAGTTTGTTAGGGATGGAGATGATTGACGTACCGTTGAGGATTGTTTATTATGTTCTTGACCATTTTAATTTTGAATATTTGAAGGTGGAGTTTGATAATTGTGAAGATAGTGTTGATAGTAAGTCTATTCAAGAGATGTTAGGATTACCATCTGGTGGCTCATTACTTTCAAACATGGATTACATTTCGGAGAATAATGAAGAGAGTTGTGTGTTTGAGTGGAAGAAACAATATGAGAATATTGATAAATTGAGATTGAAACAACTAAAGAATCAACTTGTTCAAACTAGTGCTACGGATGACAACTACATAATCAATTTTTTGGTTCTTTTTATTAATACTTTCGGTGAGTCTACAAGCATGGGTAAATGTAATCTGAATCCATTGTATTTAATCAGAAGAGATATTGATTTAAGTAGCATTGACCGGTGCGATTACATTGTGGATTGTTTGGTAAGGATGAAGAAGGTTTACAATCCAGAGAAATAATCTTCTTTCTTTTATGGAACAACAACATACCTTATGGTACGTGAGCTATTTTTTGATATTAATTATTCTTTTTAGTTGTAAAAATATGTTTGTTTTTGTAATAAATCATATATGATTTTACTACATATGATTATGTAGTATAATTTTTGTTTAATTATATATTACACATCAAAGTCGTATATGATGTTATATATGTTATGATGATATATATGTTTTTGCAGTTGTTGTATGTGGATACTTTCAAGTTTGATCATTTGCAAATCACACATAAACGTCCAACTATTTTTTTAATTGGATGTTAGAGAAGATAAGGCTTCTTGAAGATATTTTAGAAGAGAGTGGTGGATTTGGATGTGAACATGTTAATGAAGCATATGTTGAAGAAGAATTTCAAGAATCTGAGTATAATGAGGAGGAATCTGGTGGTGATGAGGTTGAATCTGACAGCAAAGAGGATTTATGTGATGAGGATGAAGAATATTTTGAAGTTAATAAAGTTAGTGATGTGGAGGTAATTCTATAGTTTTATTCATTTATGATTTAATTAGTTTATTCATTTATGACTTTTTATGTTTAAGTATTTTAGTTGTAAGTATCTTTTTTCTTATGTAGGTGTATGAAAGTAAAATTTCATATATGTATCAGAAGATGGAGGATTTGAAAAAGGATATTGTTGTAAAGATAGTTGAGGGAGTGTTGAAGTTTCCTCAAAGTCAAAATTTGAAAAATTCGAAATTATTATTTCTTGTTGAAGATTTAAGCACAAAAAGTTTTGTTTTCCATTATGTTTCACAAAAATAGAAAGAACCGATATTAACACCTGGTTTTGTTCAAGTTAATGATGAAGATTATGGGAATGATTTTCTTAATGATGATGAAAATGTTGAAGATTATGATCAAGGGAAATGTTTTAGTGGTCAGGGGAATGGAAGTGGTTCACATGAGGGAAATATTCGTAAAAATCATGTTGAAGGTAAAGGTGATGATGATGAAGATGATGAACAAGGAAATGGAAGTGGATGTAATAACGAAGAGGCCATGAATTTAAATTCTGTTGTCGAAAATGTTACTAAGAGTGTGGGTCTAATTGATAGCCAAGAAGGTGTATCTTTTAGTTAATTTATTAGCGATCCAGTTGTTGAAAGTTTTCTTAAAACTTTGGATTAAGGTAGGCATATTTTATTATTATATATATAGTTTAATCATCTATGATTTTAATTTTTTATATTTGAATTTTATAGGTACTAATGGTTGTCTAAATCAGAAACTAGTTGAAGATGATGTGAATTTGAATTTGACTGATGTTGATGATGGTAAGTATTTATTTATGTATTTTTAATACATTATATATATATATATATATATATATATATATATATATATATGTGTGTGTGTGTGTGTGTGTATGTGTTATATACATGATTCATTTATGATTTTAATAATTTAGCGACTGTAAATTTGGGTGAGGATGATCATAAGAATAAAATAATTTCAGATCATACTGTTGATACAGTTATTGTAGTAAAGAAGGATGGAGAAGGTGGAGATGTTGAAGATTGTTCAAATAAAAATAAAGATGGAGGTAATTTGTTTATAATTATTTTTTATTCATATATAATTGTGTTTATAATTATTGTTTATTCACATATGATTTTTATAATTTTATTGGGTAGAAAATGTTGAAGATTGTTCAAATAAAAAGAATGATTCAAATGAGACTCGATCATTGAAAAATGATATTGTTCCAAGTTTTAGTCTTGGATTTAGTCAAGATTCTGAAGGTTCCAAGAAGTCATCTCAAACTCAAATTTCTTCTGAACAGATGACAAAGAAAAAGATTAAGGATATAGTTATTTTGGGAAAAGCACACCAAGTGCTGGTCCAGAGTGTATTATTCCAAATGTTGATGTTATTGATGCTAGTCCAGTTTCTTTTGCACCCCCTTTGGGTACATTAGAAGGACCATCAAAACTTGTTTCAGGCAAACCTAAAGATATAAATGGAGAAGCAACATCAGTAGTGGATGTCAAAGGAAAGAAACAAATGAAGATTTCTTATGTTTATAAGTCAACATTTAAGGAAAGGTTAATAGATTTTAAACCTAGTTTGACACAAGTAGAAAATGTTGTTTGTGAATGGCTTCTCAATCTTCAAGGAAATCCAGGGTAATTATTTAATATAATTTTTTATTTTTATAATTATAATTATAACTTTTTATTTTAAATAACATTGAAATAAATATATACAGTGATATTGTATTGCTTATGGAAACAGATGTTATTGGTTTTAGAGATAATTATGAAAGTCTTTATAAAAAAACCCCATTTGCATGTTAGTGTTTTTGATTAATGGTCTCGTATACTAAATCATCAAGAGAAGTTCATAGATGTTGTAAAATCTGGAATTGTGGACTTCTATAAGGAGTTTCATGATATTAAACACATACATCACAACATACAATTATAGACAAGAAAATATGCAATGATTTCACAAGACCCTTGACTTGTATCGTCCCCCAAAAACAATGAAACTCAAAAGAGGGATTTGAAGCTCACCTTGGGTAGGAGAAAGTGTGGTTGAAGAGGTGGGGTGAGAAATTGGAGCCTAGAACACTTGAAATGTTGGATGAATCCTGTAACACTCATCTTTCTAGCCTAGGAATTTATATTGAGGTGATAGTCTAGGTTAACCTTTGTAACTCATTTTGAAGAAATGAAAAGGAATTATGTGAATATTATGTGAATTATGTGTTTTATGCTTAATTATTAACATTTATTTAATTAAGAATAAAATAAGCGTCAAAATTAAAGTATGAGATAATCTTGATATCTTTACATAAAGTTGTAGTGCTCGAAACAAGGATTTCGGGGATATAAAGAATACCAAAATCCGAGTTATAACGAAGAAGTTATGACCTGTCGAAGTTTCGCGACAAAACCGACACGGTGCTGAATGTCGTAAAAAGTGAGTTTTTGATAAACTACTTTTTAGCCTTAGTAATCTAAACAAAAGTCGTAGTATTTGTCAAACCGAGAAGTTCGATAAAAAGAACGCCTAAATCTGACTTCGTATGAGGAAGTTATGATTTTTCGAAGTTTCAGCTAAGTAGTAGACAGCTAAAAACTTGAATTTTAGATCAACGATTTTTAGCCAGCACAACCTAAATGAGAATTGAAGGTCTCTTCATTAGGAGCAGGAGCACAATGGTAAAAAGTCTGACAAAAACGGATGTCGGATGAAGAAGTTATGAATTTTTAACGGATTTCCTGTCCCGGTCTGTTAAAAATAAGAATATAAAAATTTTAATTCAAAATTAGCCGACGAAGTCTAAATGGAAGCTGTAGAGCGTAATTTTAGCTACGCGTGCATATAAAGAACGTCAAAAATGGAGCATGTATGCGAAAGTTATGAATTTTAGAAGATTTTGGCACAAAATTCGAGAAATTTCGCATAGATAAGCTTAACCCGGAAGTGCCACGTGTCCTCGCATCGCATGTGCCACGTATCTGGAACCTGATGTGTCACTGAGCCACCTGGAAAGACGTGTTGCCTTCCCTCGCATGCGAGACTGCCCCGTATCGCCCCGTGTCCTCTTCTGATTCGACCAAAGGGATGCCCAATCCGAAGCTCGCAGCTGGACCGAGCCTCGCACCGCCTAGCCTCCGAACCTCGCATGTGGACCAGTAGACCGCGGTCCAATCAAAGGCCCACACCGAGCCCTTCGCACATGCTACCCTTGTACGAGCCTTCCCTGCGAACCCTTGGATCTGCGACGCGTGTCTTCTTCCTGACCGTCCGATCAGAAGCCTCGCCCCTATAAATAGAAGGGTGCGAGACCTCCCGGGTAACTTTGAAAATTTGTCAATTTTAACCCCAAAAATAATATTTTCTTCATCTTAACATCCCGCAAAGCCACGGTATCGATTGTACAGCCCGGAATACTCCACGAAGTGCCCGAGAAGCCCGGAAAATTTATCTTTTCGGTTTCGAAGCCCGACTTTTGCAAAGCCCGGTTTCTCAATAAAACTCCCGGTTTTATTAGAAACGATCGTTTTAGGAAACGAATTGCTGCCCGATTATCATCAAACCAAGTGAGTGTATAGTCACTTTCATTTTACACATAGATATGAAGTATTTACCTTATAATACGTGTTATGTGTAGATATATTAATTGTTTATTTGAGGTAACTGTTGAGTTGATGTTTTATACAAGTTTTAAACTATACAAGTATTTTTATCTACAAATATGTTGGGTAGAACATGGGTAGATAGTGATGTGTGATAAAATAAAATTGATGAGAGGCCTCGATATGTTTTGAGATCCAGTCATCTAGCGGAGTTTGGATGACGACCACGGACTTTCTAGACAGTCCAATGGGAAACATTAGCAGGTCTGCAACCTGTAGGTGTTAATGAACTGAGAGTGTTCATTCGCTATACTCCATCCCCCTCATGGTTGCCTTTAGGACATGTATGGCCGAGGAAACCCCTCAGCAGTAGTGTCCATCCGTATGATATTCTTTAGGCTAGGTCCCTTGTGATACGTGTTTAGGGACGTAAAGTGAGGATAACGGGAACGGATAATCATGGTTGTTGTTGATTGATGAACTTAGTAAGTTTATTATTATTATGGGTTGAAAACCCTATATGCTCACCAGGATCCCAAGCCTAACCCACTCAGCTTTTTATGTTATAGGTAGTGGACCCCGAGCATAGTCAGAGGAGGACGAGAGATTTTTGGATTATAGGCTAGTAGTTGTAAATAACTGTTGAAAGGCTTATACTGTCTTGATTATGCTTTTGATGTGTATCGGAACATGACATCTCGAGGTTTTGATATGTATATATATATATATATATATATATATATATATATATATATATATATATATATATATATATATATGGAAAACATATACCTTCTTAATGAAGGGTTTTGATAAACTTTTATCATATTTTGTTTGGGGACCAATTCCGCAACATATTTTAAAAAGATTCCTCTAATTTTATTTTAAAAAGCATAAATTAAATCGGTCTTTTCTGGCCGAGAAATTAGGGGATGTCGCAGTTGGTATTAGAGCATTAGTTTAAGCGAACTAAGAAATCGTAGAATTTCTAGACTTGAACTTAGAATGCTAAGTGATGATTGTGAGATGAGTGTCTACCATATTTTAGACACGAGCACTAGTTTATTTTAGGGAAGATGCCTAAATTGCCCTTATGTGATATATGCTATGTGTTTTCCATGTGTTCCATTATTTGTTCGGATCTATGGTCTGTTGCCGACCGGATCTGGAAACCTTATGTGTGTAGGATTCTAAGAGTACGATTATGAGATTAGAACTAACATGTAAACGTTTCGGAGTGATAAGGGAATTGACATGTCTAACAAGGATAAAGACCTAAATTCGCCTTATTCGTTGTATAGATTGTAATGGCCAGAACTCGTAGTGGAGCTGCAAATGCAAATGGAAACAGGGATCAACAGCCTCAACCTCAAGTAGTTGAGCAAGTACCTGTTGCAGGAGCTGCACCTGAGCCAATGACGATGGCTGGGGTACAAGCAATGATACAGATGATGTTAGATCACCAAATGGAGGAGACAAGGCGATTACTACAACAGCATAGGGAAGAGACCACGATGTCTGTTGAACAGCCCATATTGAATGAAGGGCAATCAGTAGGACAGAACTACACTGGGACTCTTGGTCAAGCCAACCCACCGATAGTTAGACAAAACAACCAGGATGGAGGAGTTGATGGAAACGGATGCAAATACAAAGATTTCATGGCATCTAAATCGTCGTGTCTATCTGGGAGTCCGACACCGGTGGAAGTCATAAATTGGACCTCCGAAATGGAGATGATGTTTGAAAGTTGCGAGTGCAGCAACAAACAAAAGACCGCACTTGCAATCCCTCTGTTAAAGTCTAGTGTGTTGAGCTGGTGGAAGTTACAAGCTGATTTGATGCCCAAGGGTGAGGCTAGTAAGATGTCTTGGGAAGATTTTGTGGTACAACTGAAATTGCAGTACTGCTCTAAGCAGGATCTTCTGGAAATCAACAATGAGTTCCAGAATTTAAAGAAAGGAAATATGAGCGTTACTGAATATGCTACTAGTTTTATGGAAAAGATGAAGCTTGTTCCTCATCTAGTTTCAACTAAACTCTCTAAGGTCAACAAGTTTGCCATCGGATTACTAACATACTTTGGTCCGATGGTTAAGCAAGCAACCACTTTGAAAGCCGCCATCTTGGCTGCTAAGAATATCGAGGTTCAGATCAGAGAAAAGGGTCTGGAGAGGCCAGAAGTTGGTGAAAAGAGAAAATTTGAAGGAACTTCAGGTTCCAACAATAAAAGAAAATGTTCTAAGTCCAAGAAGTTTGGAGGAGGAGGAGGTGAAGTGAAATGTTGTGAGAAGTGCAAGAAAAAGCACTCTGGGAGATATGGTGAGGAGGTGACTTGCTTCAAATGTGGAAAGACTGGGCATTATGCCAACATGTGTCTGTAACAACGCAGATTCCCAGGTATTATTCATTTTTATATTTTTAGTATTTTGTGAGGAGACTCGGCGAGTTAGAGCTCAAACTCGCCGAGTAGGATCGCGATTTGGGCAAGGATTCGCGTCTGGACTCGGCGAGTCCATGCTGTTTAATGAAACCCTAATTCCCCGGTTTTGGAGCCTATTTAAAGGCACTTATATCCTCCCATTTATGGCTACTAGTCCCTTGAGAGAACCCTAAGAGAGCTAGTTTGTTTTGGGAAAGAGGAAGTCACTTTTGGGCCTTTGTATTCCTTGTTTAGCAAGAGGAAGGTGGCAAGAGCAAGGAGGAGGTGAGATTACAGAAAATCCAGAGTCCAGAGGCTTCATTTTGAGGTAAGGGTTCGAATCTCCTTCAGTTATAGGGATGATCTTTAGAGTTAGGGTTTTATACCCCTTTTGGAGAGTGATTATGTGAAGCAAATAGTCCCTCTTTGAGTTTGTGCCTTGGATCTGGACCTCAAAAGAGGTCCAGAGACCTTAACCATTGGAGCTTTTTGGGTGATTATGGAGTCTTTGGACCTAGGTGGTTATTTTTGGGACAAAATATCCTTCTGATGCCTTGTAGGGGTTAAACAAGCATCAAGCTTCGAACTTTACGTGACATTCATGCTTGGGAAGGATAGAT